CGGTGGGAGCAGCAGCTGGCCGGGCTGCGGGAAGAGAACGAGAGCCTGACCGCCATGCTGTGCAGCAAGGAGGAGGAGCTGCACCGGACCAAGGCCACCGTGGGCGCCATCCGCGAGGAGCGTGACCGGCTGCGCAGGAGGGTGAGCACCGACCAGCCGGGTGGGCCTGCTGTGCGGGGTCACGAGCCTCCGGGGAATCGCCCCCTCGTTCAGAAGTCGACCTTGGAAGGGAAGGGCTTGAAGTGCCGAGGCGGGGCAGGGTTATAAAGCACTGCTGTCTGCACTCCCAAGTTCCAGGGCCTTGATTCCCAAACTGCCCCTCAAGATATGTACGTCTTCCCAAGGTCCATGAAAATGTCCGTCTTTTAAGTTAGAACAATAGTTTTTATGTGAAAATATGTGTATGTAGAGAGACCGAGAAAGCATTTTACTATTTGAATTCTATGAAATTTCCTTTAACTGACAGTGGTTAAGGCAGCTGGTTTCCACGTGGCCAACTGCATGGCTTGAATCTCAGCCCTGGCGGCTTGAACATCACGCAGGGTGTATGTGCAGGTGGGCCCGCATCCTGAAAGGAGAGTGGAGGAGAAAGGATTGTGGCGGAGCCTTCCCCCGAGGGGTGATTTCTCACTTTCCTTCTATCTATCTCTGTGGAGTACACATGCCTTCTGAAAAAATTTGAAATTAAAAAAAAAAAAAGGAAATTTCTTTAACTATACAGTAGCTGGGACCTGCAGTTGGCGTAATGGCTATGTCACTGGACTACCATGTAGTCGACTGTGGTTCAAGTCCCGGACCTGGCAGCTTAAACTCACGCCAGGCATATGTGCATGCATGCCCAAGATCCCAAGAGGAGAATGGAGGAGAAGGGATTACAGTATGGCCATCCCCCCTAGGGGGGGTGTTTTGCTTTCTGTCTCTCTCTGTCTTTCTAGCAAGTGCATGCACCTTATAGCAAAAAAAAAAACAAAAACAAACAAACAAAAAAAACAACTTTCCAGTAGCTGCTTCCACTCATCTGTAGAGACTCTAATGTGATAGGCCATCTCTTCTACTGCAGACTTAAAATACGCTTAAAATTATTACGTGTGTCTGCATACAGGGGACTTCAGAAAGTTTGTGGGGAGATAGCATTAAAGCACAAGTTTATTTTGCTGCAAAAATAATTAATATATGCATAGTTTTCATAAAACACATTTTCTCTGAACTTTTTCAAGACCCCTTCATACATACGTGTGTGTGTGTGTGTGTGTGTTTATGGACCTACATATGTGCCTCTGTGTGTGTGTGTTTATGGACCTACATATGTGTGTGTGCCTGTGTGTGTGCGTGTCGATGGACCTACATATGTGCCTGTGTGTGTGTGTGTTTCTGGACCTACATATGTGTGCATATGCCTGTGTGTGTGACCCCTGGTGTTCACCCCAGGGCCTGAACTAGAGAGCCGTGTTGTCAAGGACGCGTATCCGTGACTGAGGAGCTGGTGTTTCGGCATAGCCGTGTCCGGCAGAATCTTTCAAGCACTTAGTTTTCCAAACACGCCGCTCCCAGGAGCCCTGCAGTACTTCTCTGAGTGTGAATTTGGTCTGACTAGACTGAAGTGCAGCAATGAGGTGTTCCGTCAGAAGAGAGTCCCCTGGACTTACACTTCGAGCTTCTAGCAGTCCTTTGCTCTGCTCCCATCCTGATAGGACAAGGAGCTTGCCTCTGATTTGCTCTGCCTGGTGGCT